AAGAAAACATGGGAAGCTTGATTATTTCTTTGACATATCTTCTTGTAGTGTAACATAAGCGTGTATAGGTTTTAAACTACTAGTTAAATTGTGTGCACACATTAACGTAATAGGAATACAGCTACATAACCAAAGCAGACCTACAATTACCAGCCATATCCAGTGAAACCAAGAAAACCAGTTAGGCACCCTAGGCATTTGTGAAGACTTATCAATGATATGATGGATATTGTCTAACTGAATTTGACTAGTTTGAGAAAAATCAGACATATTAAAACAACACATTCCTGGGAACTGTTCACATCCCATATGTTCTTTTAACAGTAGATAGTCTATAGTTGCAAGATTTTGGAGTTCTGCAACTTACACTTCTCCTAATTCTTGGTTGAGTTCCGACAGTATAGATCCAGTCAAATTTGTTGTTTTACTGTATGCACAGGCCAGCTTAGATATCTCCTTCCTCATTCCAATGTCAAGTCCAGGAATCGGTGGGATGAATGCAGCTACAACTGCAACAGCGCCAGGATCTTTGTTGAAGTTTTTTGATGATCATCTTCTGGAATGACTCTTCCAGAGAATGTTGATGTTGGAAGTTCTTCTTCATATCGTATCATAATTCGTTTTCTGGGTAGCCGAATTAGGCTTTGATCCTCTGTATAAACACAAACAAACCCTTTGCCCACCCTTTGATATGCCCTTTATACCATTGTGAAGAACTTATTGGAGACCACCACACAGGATCATTCTCTTTTTGTATCCAGAGAGTAGAAGGTTCCAGAGCAGAAGAATCAAGAGTTTGTAAAGACATCTTAGGTAAATCAATAAATACACATATATGTTATTTCTTAGGAAAAAAGCATTCCATACTTTATGCAACAAATATTTTCCATACATATATATCTATATCTGTGTTTTCTTAATGGAATAATACCTATTTTGTTCTATTGACTTAGGGATTTACCTTGGGCTATAATAGCCTCAAGAACTCTATTAAAACTAAGATTATTTACTGTTTTCCACTTTATTTTTTTCATTTTTGAACTCACCAGAGAAAAATAAACACATAAGAGTGTTTCACTCTTTAGGTCTAAGGCTCATAAAGGAACTGTAATCCTTGGCATAAATAGAGCACTTTATTTTTTGCTGACAATATAATTAAAACAGTTGTTTAAAACCATACAATTAAATACACTACTTTGTAAAATGTCACTAAATGTACTGATTGCCCTTCCCAGAACTAGGAATCTGTCAAAGTGTCTTGGTAGAAATCTTCCCAGAAGGGATAATTCATTGAGACTTGTGCAGTGCAATCTAAGATAACCTTTTGTTTTTAATTAAAATGGGGATAAGAAGCCAATTAAAAAATTTGTCTTCCTTCAGTTACTCAAGGTAAGGTTGATGGAACTTCTGTTTCAATAGAGCCCCAGCACTTACTAAAAACATCATAAATTCTGGGTATATGTTTTGAGTCTGTAGCCATTCCATTTGTGGCTCCAAACGCTACCATGGCATATCATGGTCAGGCTCATCAACGAATTAATGTTTAAACGTCACTTTTTGGTTGGTAGGGTTAAGAGGATGTTTTTTCCTTCTTGAGATAGAATTAAAGTAGATGTCTTCTAATCTTGGAAGGAACAGGTTTTCTAAAATTATAGCAGATAGAAGAACTCTAACAAATTTTGGACAATAAACCTGTGAAATGCTCTGTAAGGAATATAAAAGCTTTTTGTGTACTGTTTTGTGCCAACAAGTAAAGTTCTTTGCTCATAGTTGATGCTCATTTAATGATTTTGAATTGAATTTATTAGAAAATAGCTTTATTAAGATACTCACATGTCATATATTTCATCTATTCAAACTGTATCATTTGATGACTTCATACATTCACAGTTATGCAAATGTAACTATAAATAATTTGAGAACATTGTCATCACCTCCAAAAAGAAACCTTGTACCCATTAGCAATCACTCCCCATTTTTCCCCTACGCATCTCCAGTTCTAAGCAATTACTTTCTGTCTCTACAGATTTGCCTATTCTGGATATTTCATATCAATGGAATCATATAGTATGTGGTATTTTATGACCGACTCTTTTCACATCACATTATGTTTTCAAGGTTCATCCATGTTAATTCTTTTTCCTTTTTATAGCCAAATAATATTTCATTATGTGGCAATACTCTATTTTATTTATCTTTACTTCAGGTGATAGACATGGGTTTCTACTATTTGGCTATTGTAAATTATACTTCTGGGGACATTTATGTGTAAGTTTTTGTGTGGATATGTTTTCATTTCTCTTGTATAGTTACCTAGCAATAGAATTATTGATCATACAGCAATTCTGTTTAACCATTTGAGAAATTGCCAGACTGTTTTCTGAAGGGACTGTACCACTTTACATTCCCACCAGTAGTGTCTGAGGGTCCCAATTTTGCTACATCCCTGTCAACACTTGCTCTTGTCTGTCCTTTTGATTATAGATGTCCCTTTGGATGTGAAGTAGTATATCATTCTGATTTTGATTTGTATTTATGTCATGGCTACTGATATTATCTTTTTTCTGTCTATTGGCCATTTGTTTATCTTTTTTGGAGAAATATCTATTCAGGTCTTCTTTTAAAACTGGGTTATTTGTCATTTTACTGAGTTATAAGAATTTATTCCATATATGATTTCCTTATTAGATATATGATTTATAAATATTTTTTTCCATTCTGTTTATTGTCTTTTCATTTTTTATAGTCTCCTTTAAAGGTCAAATATTTTTAATGAAATCAGCTTTTTTCTTTTGTTGCTCATGCTTTTGGTGTCATATCTAAGAAGGCTTTGCCTAACCCCAAGGTTACAAAGATTTACTCGTGTATTTTCTTTGAGAGTTTATCAGCTTTAGCTCTTACACTTAGGTCTAATGTCTATTTTGAATTAATTTTTACATGTGGTATATAAGGAAGGGGTCCAGTTTCATTGTTTTGCCTGTAGATAAACTAGTTGTTGAACTCCACCATTATTAAGAGAGCCTTCTTTCCCTATTGTATTTCCTTGGCATATTTGTCAATTCAATTAAACATAAATGTAAGGATTTAATTTTGGTCTGAGTTCTATTGCATTGACCTATATTTCTGTCCTTATTCCAGTACCACACTCTTTTGATTACGATTGATTCGTAGTAAATTTAGAAATTCGGAAGTTTGAGTCCTAAACTTTGTTCTTCTTTTTCATTTATTTTGGCTAATTGGGGTTCCTTGCTTTCCCATGTGAATTTTAGCCTCAGTTTCTTAATTTTGGCAAAGAAGCCAGGTAGGATTTTGATAGGGATTGCATTGAATTTGTAGATCTATTTGTTAAATATTATATATTTAAATATATATCCTAACAATATTATGTCTTCTGATCCACAGATAAGTTGTTCTCATTTAATTGTGTTATGCATAGGGATTGAAATGAGGACCTAGAGGGAATTTTTGTTCACTAGCTCCCATACAGTATAGTTGACTAATTATTGCATATTGGAATAACAATTGAATATTTCACTCTTTGTAGTTATTTTGTTATTTAAATATCTTAATTGTTAGCTACTCATTAGAACTGTAAACTTCTCTGGGGTAAGATACATCTTAAGTACTTCCATATTGCTGAGAGTTAATGTCATGTCATTAAAGAAAAACACTTGTTGATTGATATTTGGCAGCTAATTATAAGAGATAGTTTATTAGTGGTACTGTGAAATTACCATTAACAACAAATGGCTGGCTGACATATTTTTAGTCTTATAATTAATATATATTCATATCATTCTTTTGAAGAAAAATAAAATTTTCTTTATAGATTGATTTCTCTTAGAAGGCATAATTAAAATGGTCTTTAAATTCATTTTAGGGACCAAATCTGATTCCAGTTTTGATGTTCAAGTTGGGAAAACCATTGGAGCCTGTATTATATAATGATATCTTGTATACTTTACCTACACTTGGTGTTCACAAGGTTTGTGTATTAACCAATTTACTTGAGGTGGGGGGAAAATGAGGCATGAATAATACATTGAATTTTGTTTGGTATTATATGAAATTTTAAGCCTTTAATTGTGCCATGATCACTGTTTTCCTTGTTAGACTAAAATTATTTAGTACAATATTTAAGAATTTTCTTAAACCATTTAATAGCCAAGTTTCCCATTAACTATCATCTGAGATTAGGTTCTTAGGCACCCAGGATTGCTATCCCCAACCTCTAAGGAGATAGGTAATATTGTAGTAAGCTTCCATTTCTGTCTTTATTTTATAAGGGATTCTAAATTCTTTTAGTAATCTTGGGATTATCTACATTTACATTGTGAAACCATGATTTCTTCAATATTTTCTAGATGTGCATAGGACAGATTCTACGAGCAATCCAACTTCTTGGAACCACTCCACAACTAAGAGCTGTCACTCTGCGCTTGCTGACTTCTTTGTGGGAAAAGCAGGTAAGCTCAGATTATATCTGTGTGAGTGTTAAACATGTTCCTTTCACTGAAGAGAACTAATTTTGTCATTAAGTGTGACAGTGCTTAATACATTAGTACTACTGAGTGGCATCAACGATTACACTGAGAAATTTTGATTTAGCCAAAGCTTTTGATCTGTAATGCAGTCAGTTGTGATCGGCTCTCAGAGAGAAATTGAGAATAAACTTATTTCCTTAATTCTTAAATTTATTTTTCCATTTGTGTGGGAAAAGTAATAGAAATATGATTATAAGTGATTAGAGCCTCTGTCATTAGGGTGAGATTTAGCTACTTTTTTCCTGTTTTGTGAAATGAACAGTACATGGGTCTATAAGAAAATCCCCAGCAATCACAACAGCATTCTTCGCTGCTGATTAGAAGAAATACATTATAATTTGCAATGCAAATGTGTGATTTGGTGGTAAGAATGATGCATAAAGGGGATAATGCTTATTCAACTCAAGTTGGGAAGTTGCCTTTTTTGTGAAATTGCTTTTTTAGGATCGTGTCTACCCTGAACTACAGCGCCTCATGGCCATGTCCGATGTGCCCTCTCTGTCTGTGGGCAAGGAAGTTCAGTGGGAGAAACTGATTGCGAAAGCAGCCTCAATCAGAGACATATGTAAGCAAAGGTAAGATGGACTTAGTCCTTATGAAGTATATCTTGATATATTATTTTGCATTTGGTTTTTTATTTTAAGCAAGAAGCTAGGATAGATAGGCAGAGGATATTTGAGTAAGAATAAATTTTCAATTCTAATTTTATGATTGTAAAACTTAGTAATACTGGAAAATAACTTTAAGAAGCAAGCCTGTCTCTCCATTTCAGGTCTAGTCTTATAACTAGGCTTATAGGATATTATATCCTTTTCTGGATAATCTAATATTGTAGTGAAACAAAATACATGATGTTTTGTTTTCTGATTTTCTGTGTATAAATCCTGAAACCTAAGCAATGGGCTGTAGTCAAACTGTTCTTTCTTATATTCTCCCTATGTTATACCTAGAAGTTCTAATAAGGAAAGGCCTTATTTGTAACTCATTGCATGTAATTAATTATTAGGAATTATTACAAGGAAGGAAATTATCTTAATTCCCATGTATGCTCTAGCATTTAGGAAGACATGAAAATATTAGGGAGATAACTCTGCTCTTCTAGATTGTGGATTAATACATAGGTGGTGGGAGGTAACAAGATTGAAATAACACTAAGCAAAGCTCTATTTTAATAGATTTTTTTTTCTTGAATAAGGTAAGGTAAAAATATTTAAGGAGGAAATAGATTTAAAATGAATTATAATCCTGCAGTTTCATATGTTGATGGAGCCACTGTGCTGTAGAATTTTCGGGAGCATCACCCTCAGTTCGATCAGTGGTAACGTGAATGGTGCGTCCCAAAGTTGTGTAATGAATGGGTTGGCCCAGGTACTGATAATGAGGATTATTCCCTATGCAAGTAAAATTTTTGATCCAAATGCAGCTAAGCCTCAGCAGTTCTGCTTCTTTTTTAAGCATCAGCCTTGGCAATGTAACCATGACCTCAGTCTAAAAGTTACACATGTAACTCAAGACCTGAGAGTTTGGATTCTCTTGAGGTACTGACATGGAAAAATTTTAGAGATGAAAGGTTATTAGCTCATATTTAATTTTACATGCTTAAAGCTGAGGCCCAGGAGATGTTACATAAGAGCCCAGAACAGTTTGTTGATAACTGACTCAGTGCTCCTTCCATTTTCCACCTCAAGGTCTGTCTAATTTTTCCAGTTTTAGAAAACCATCTCCGTTTGCCAGACAGTGAAACAGTAGAATCCATTCAGGCAGTTTCATCAGTCGATAGTTTATTTATTAGAGGAAAGTATTACATCACTGAGGGATTACAAGGAATAGAGGGATGACCTGAGCATTTCTTTATGAAGTTTAAAGCATTCAGGGGATAGCACAATATATGTGGAATAGAGAGGAGAGGATGGGGAGGAGGATGAGTGAGTGAACCCCGCACAGTGCCTGCATAAGGTAGGTGCTCAGCTGGTTATAATTCACATTTTCATTTTTAGCATTATCATCATCATTAGCATCATTGTTGTGATAAGTATAACCACCTTAGTATCACTAATGTAATAAATCATCTTCAGATCTCAAATCCCTGCTTTTGTAGTCAGTGGCTGATACCAAAGCAGCTGCCAGGCTGGAGTAGCTGTATCTTTACTGATAATCCCAATAAGATAAGTCAGTTCTTTTCACCATTATTATAGGCTTGAGTTTTTATTAATTCAGATGGTAGCATTTATGATTTAGGAAGAATAAAATTTGTAAACAAGTATCTTCTTTTTTAGATATTTCTGTATCAAACATGAGCCTTAAGTTATAGCAGAAATAATGCTGGTACAAATCTTTGAAGAAATATGTTTGTATTTAAAGGTCATCATTTAGTAAACATGAGAATAAAGAAAAGCATTAAGGCTTTTGTTCAGGCAGAAGGTCTGGTAGTGGTAACAAAGTTCTTTGACTTTAATCTTATTTCTCAGTGTTGTTTCTTGTAGGCCATATCAACATGGTGCGGATATGTTGGCAGCTATTTCCCAAGTGCTGAATGAATGCATCAAGCCTGATCAAGCTACTCCAGCAGCCTTGGTGTTACAAGGTCTTCATGCACTTTGCCAAGCTGAGGTAGGCTTTTCTTAAATTGTTTTGGATATTTTTGAAGAAAACATTTTAGAAGCGTAGTAGTTACAAGGATATAAGATCAGATTCAAGTAGCTGAAAGTTTGAATATTCATTCCCAGAGATTTTTGTTTAGAAGAGTGAAGCAAGACCTACTTTACAAATTCTTTTAGAGGGGAGCCTTGAAAATCTGGTCATGTAGACATTCTCTAAAAGCTAAAGAAGACCACACTTCAGGTTTCTTCTTTGTTCTTCTTTGTTTTTGTTAATTTAGAAAGTACAGTTATGCTTATAGGAGAACTCTTGAGTATATTTGCTTCTTGGTTTTGTGATTAGGAAGCCTTAGAAGCAGATGAGGTGAGGAAATTGACATGGGCCAGGGGTAATTTTTTTTTTTTTTTTTTTTTTTTTTAGTTGAAT